CAGAGCAGTACAGAAATTAAATGCCCATGCCCGAATGCACCGCACTAACTACCAAGACGCACTATAGCATCACTAATCACACAGCATCACAATTCTAGCACCGTGCTACCTTGCAAGCTAATTCTTAGTAACGAAATATACATGTATGGTTAAGAGACGCTACCGATATCTTGAAAACAACATATCACAAAAGTCAAATAGCCTTGCAAAAAGCACTATACACAGCTTTAATTTCGTGACTACATTTGTCAAGTTGATTCCTCTATTCATGGTGCAATCTCTATTCCGTGACTCCATTTTCCCCAACCTACCCCTTGTACGTGACTAAATCTCTATTTCGTGACTCCATTGCTCTATTTGATCCCCTTTCCTGTAGTTAGTTAATCTCTAAGAATCAGTGGCACAAGACAGCTGACACAGCATTTTTGAGATAGCGTGTTCCAATCTCCATTTCTCCAGTAGAAGCATCACTTGAATCGAAATGCTAGACATTGAGAATTGATTCCATACATTCTGACTTCTAGGTAAAAACAAAACAAACAAAAAAACAACAGATCCAATGAAAAACCTTCGAGGTCTCTCAAATCTGCAATTATTTCTGTTCCTTACCTCTAGAAATGCACTGAGTCTGGGCCTCAATTGACGTGGCGGCGCTCGGCATCAGTTGCAGGACCTGCTTGAATCAGCCGCTCTACCGCCAGAATCCAGAATGAATGAAATCGCACTGGCTGAGGATCGGCGGAAAGCCAGAGTTTAGTAAGAGCTAGAGGCTTATTTTAGCACAAGATTCAAACAGCTCTAATGATTCGTTGTTACATTTTCAATGGACACTGATATTCCTACGTCAGAGACGCTTGCAAATCAGCAAGTCATTGTGCACAATGATACAAAGAGCTCTGATGGATTCATTGTTCTGTTTCTGTGAAACCGCGTGTCGTGATCGGCTATACTGGTTGTTTATGGATACAGATGCAAGTATTATTTGGGTTCGTTGCAGCTCAACAAACTGAATTAAAAACCAATGTACAAACAAGTTTGTCGTGGGGTCGTGTCAAGTTTGTCAACGGCAGCGTGCGCGACTCGGAACCAAGAGGTCCCGGGTTCGAGTCCTGACATGCCACCGATCTTGTGCCATCGGGAAAGGCACTTAACACGACTTTCCTCACTTAACTCAAGTGAAAATGAGTATTGTCCTGTCCTGTATTTGTTCCCTGTGTTGGTGGCGGCATAAAATAAGTTGATATAACTTGAGTGTGCCGTCGCCATGTTTGGTCAGGAAATGTTGGAATAAAAAATAAATAAAAAAACAAGTTTGAGCTGGAAGTCGGCATTAAATTTTTTTCAAAATATTTGAAAACGGTACAAATATACCAGTAATGAACAATAGTATTTTACGAAATGCATGCATGTTGTTAAAATTCACATATATACGATACAGTTGTTGCCTATGCATGGTAGTCTACATACGGCTACTGGCTACGGAATTTACATTGTAGGCCATGTTGATTTGATTATATGGAAGCGAATATTTGTCGTATGTTGCAAAAACAATATTGGAAAACGACACTAATGTATTTGAATGCCGAAATCATTTCAGGAAAAGAAGAAAATGTGAAGAAATGAAAATAAAGATTCTATTATTATTCCCCATACTATACTCTGTTCACCCTTTATGACCACGTAGATTTCATAATGAAGGAATCATTTTTACGCCATTTTTTAGTCACACGCTCGAGTCAGTTTTGGGGTTCCCAGAGGATGTCATCCATATAATAAAATCAACGTGGCCTAAGTGAGTCCGTCCCAATATGGTGACTTACATACGTGTAATAACACACTAAAGCGGAAGCCTAGAGATTTAATGCGTAGCTCAGGAGATTTGACACCGCAGGGTTTGTCTGTTCGTCCTCAATCCACATGGTGCATCACGCCGAGAGCGGTTATACCTCCTATCGAAAAATAAGTTAAAACTAGAAAGGCCGACATTTGCTTTGGAGCAAATGCAGCAAATGGCTTCACCACACCCCCCGTACTAAATATGAACCTGTCCCCCTCCCACACAAATAGATTGCTCATAAATCACCCCTGTCCAAATGTGGAGTGTTACCCATGCAGCAATAGAATCTTCCAATGCCTTCTGCTGTTGAAACATGTTGATTGACAGGATCCATGGCCCTTCGTGGTGTGGTTAAGCCATAAAAACAGCTCAAATGATTCTTTGTTACATTTTTACGTTAATTCACACTGATGATTCTCATACGTCAGCAATGAAGAAAAGCTTGCAAAATCAGCAAGTCATTGTCCACAAATGTACAAACACCTCAAATGATTCATTCTTACATTTTTTGTTTTTTAATGGACTCTGATTTTTTATCCACGTCAGAGACGAATGACAGCTTATTAATTGACAAGTCATTGTCCACTATGGTACAAACAGCTCTAATGACTTATTCTTACATTTTTTGTTTTTCAATGAACTCTGATTTTTTATCCACGTCAGAGACGAAGGAAAGCTTATTAATTGACAAGTCATTGTCCACTATGGTACAAACAGCTCTAATGACTTATTCTTACATTTTTTGTTTTTCAATGGACTCTGATTTTTTATTCACGTCAGAGACGAAGGAAAGCTTATTAATTGACAAGTCATTGTCCACTATGGTACAAACAGCTCTAATGACTTATTCTTACATTTTTTGTTTTTCAATGAACTCTGATTTTTTATCCACGTCAGAGACGACGGAAAGCTTATTAATTGACAAGTCATTGTCCACTATGGTACAAACAGCTCTAATGATTTATTCTTTTTACATTTTTTTAGTTTTTCAATGGACTCTGATTTTTTATCCACGTCAGAGACGAAGGAAAGCTTATTAATTGACAAGTCATTGTCCACTATGGTACAAACAGCTCTAATGACTTATTCTTACATTTTTTGTTTTTCAATGGACTTTGATTTTTTATCCACGTCAGAGACGAAGGAAAGCTTATTAATTGACAAGTCATTGTCCACTATGGTACAAACAGCTCTAATGACTTATTCTTACATTTTTGTTTTTCAATGGACTTTGATTTTCTATCCACGTCAGAGACGAAGGAAAGCTTATTTATTGACAAGTCATTGTCCACTATGGTACAAACAGCTCTAATGACTTATTCTTACATTTTTTGTTTTGCAATGGACTTTGATTTTTTATCCACGTCAGAGACGAAGGAAAGCTTATTAATTGACAAGTTATTGTCCTCTATGGTACAAACAGCTCTAATGACTTATTCTTACATTTTTTGTTTTTCAATGGACTCTGATTTTTTATCCACGTCAGAGACGAAGGACAGCTTATTAATTGACAAGTCATTGTCCACTATGGTACAAACAGCTCTAATGACTTATTCTTACATTTTTTGTTTTTCAATGAACTCTGATTTTTTATCCACGTCAGAGACGAAGGAAAGCTTATTAATTGACAAGTTATTGTCCTCTATGGTACAAACAGCTCTGATGGTGCATTATTCTGTTTCGAACGTTTCTGTGCAACCGGGACCTGTGATTAGCTATGTATGTTACCCTTTATTATTGAGTATTTTAAATCGGCAATTTAAAACTCATTAGTAATATAATGTAAAAGAAAAAAGGGATTCATTGGTAAATTTTTGCACAACAATGGACACTGATATCCATACGTCAGAGACGAGGGAAGGCTTGCTAATCAGCAAGTCATTGTCCAATATGGAACAAACAGCTCTGATGGTGCATTGTTATAGATCTGTTTCTTTGCAACTGGGACCTGTTTTTAGCTAGTATTTGGGTTGCTGCCTGTATAAGTATGAATTTGTCTGTATCTAAATACATGTATATACAGAAGCATCGATATCAGTACTTTACAATCGACCTTCATCGTATAAAAGTAATTGTCTATATGATAAAAACAGCTCTAATGATTGATTTGTATATTTAATTATTTACTGTCATCAGTTTTATGAAGTTCTGTTGTTGCCTAATTGGTTGTACTGTATTATACCGGCTATACTTTTTTTCTAGGTACAAACCTGCCCATGACTAAGAGTACAAAACACGGATATCTGAAATGACAAAACTCTCCAAACCATGCCGTTGGTAAGTTTTTAGCTTTATATATAATTTTGCTCGGTCTATTGAAATTGAAGAAAATTATATCAATATCCTCAACTAATTAGAAAGAGCACCACCAGATTTGCATTTGCCTGTAGAGTTAATGTCCTAACAGTTGACTGCTCAGATTATCTAGTGTCTTTATCATAATAATTATAATATGGCGTTACAGAATCGCATGATTTGCGTTATTACTTTCTTCCTAATCATGTTGAATCACGATCGAATTATACCTGTTAGCACCACACAGAAATATTTTGCCATAAGGCATTAGCATTATTTCGTCATAAGTCATTGAACACTGGTATATATTTGCTTGTAAGCCCTGCCTAGATTACAGACTGCCATGATGTTAGCTTCTAAAAACAGGAGTCGTAACTAAATGTGCTTAGTTTTTGTGCATGATCATAGCCGACGATACAGCAGTTACACATAAAAGCAGCAAAGCACTTGTAACCAATCCTACACCACCATACTGTACCGTACCGTGATAGTAAGGCCACAGCAAGTAATTTTATGGATGAAATCAGCGCGCGCATTAATTTTTGCCTGATTTTGGGGATAAAAAACAATAAATTTTGTTGCCTTCTGACAGTGGTCACCATGCTGAAAATGGGCAAAGATGTCTCTTGCCATGCCAGAAGGTGGATGGCAGATAGCTACGAAGAGAGGAGACAAGAAAAGGCTCTGATTTAATGTTTTGTTTCTTACTTTGATGCAGTGATATGTGATGCTGGCTGTATATGTGATGTTCCCACTGAATCAAAACCATTTGTACCATGATTGAGTCAAAATTTTAAAATGTAGGAACCTTGTTTTATTCGGGCCGTCTTGATTTTTTTCGCCCGCTCGCATTAGATTTGGAGTCTGCGGAGGATGTCATCCATAAAATTTACGTGCTGTGGCCTAATATGATTTAACCAATAAACAGCGGCTCCTAGCGGAAATATGTTCAACTGCCAGAGGCTAAATTCACCCCGAGGCCTCGTCCATCTCCCTCATTAACTTCTGTTGCCTAGCGACAAGCGTAGCGTATGTCTCCCGGACATGTTCCACCAAGTCTGTCAGCATTTTTGACGTCTTATCGTCCGATTTCCCCGCGTTGTTTTCGCGAACAAAATCCTCCTCGCTGAAAGCGTGTTTGACACCAAAAACGTCTTCCCCTTCCCTCCAACTTGCTACGATGAGTTTCTCATAGTTGACGTGAAAGATGAAATTCTGAAAGAGTTCCGCTTCCTCTACCCCATACTCAAAGAGATGTGCGTTGTCTCTTATGGTCTCCTCTGCTTTAAGATCGAGTGGGTGTGTGATGTAGAACAGAAACTTTCGCCACCTAGTCAACATCCTTATACCTTCATCCTTAGTTTGTGGGTTCTGCCATTTTGACTTAGCAACATGTAGATAGTCTCGGAGATTTTTTTGGCCTTCGATTGCCTCAAGATAGCTCTTACGATTAGACAGTCTGTTCCCGTAGAGAGGTCCGTACAGCTTAGAGAGCTGCTCGTTGATGTGGTTGAGTTTGTTCCGCCGTGTTTCTTTCTTCTTGGTCTCGCGATAGTTGTAGGTGAACGTCATGATTCCGACAGCGATGGAGATAGCCTGCCAGGGAACGTCCCGCCATGAGAGGTCAAACTGGAAGTAAGGAAGAACTAGAGAAGTAACATTTGCAAAGCAAATGCATAATGTTCAGACATGGTCTGCTCCATTAATTCTTACTCAAACCATAGAACGCCCTTGCTCAAACACATTTACATACATTGTACTTCTACTAGTATATGGTGACAGGAGCAGAGCAGACCATGAAATTGCAACATTATGTAACCCAACACCAGTCACCATGGTGACAGACGTCAACAAATCATGTCATTGGTCAGGTCAGAGGTCACTGGAGAAGAATAAGAGGAAGAAACAGAGCAAAAGCAATGTTTTCCTTCGGTAAACATAATTAGCATATAGCCAGATAACGCCGGTCAATTAGAAGTCGCCGTTTCATATTGGTTATGACGTCGTGACCTTATCGGTTGCCATAAACACTGCGACCAAATGGAACACGCATTCTGTTCAAATGACCGTTGCTGACCCCAAATAGAACACGTAAAACAATCACAAGGACAGGAAATATGTGCATGTGATGCATTTAGTTTAAAAACCTTAAAATATTTCCATGCTATACGACATACCTATTTTAGTGTATATGGAAGGCCTTGTGAATTGCTGTAAGTACCTTTTTTAATTCGGAATTTTAATTCGAAGGTTATAGCAACTGACACCATATTTAACTTTGGGCGGGTCATTAACATCCAATTTTTCAATTTAAATGGAAACATGTCTGCAACTGTGTAATGGATACCATTTAAATTTACTAGGAGTACGTAAATCAGTATTGTAGAAGTGCTATAAGACTGTTTAAAGTTGAAATAGATGAACTTACATTTCTATAGCAGGAGTTCATCACCACAGACATGGATAATACACCCGCTGCAATGCTGGTCTGTAGGGCGTAAAATACACTAGTTGTAGTATCATCGGGTACATTTAATTCCTCTTCCTCTTCCAGTTGAAGTGACCGCTATCATCAAGTTGATCATTCTGTCACTTTTAGTTGAAGGAGGCGAGAGGTCACCAACCTAAGACTGATGTAGTTTGGAAGCCCTAGACACAAAGGTGTCAACGGATGTGGCTTCCACCGTTGTCTGAGGCAGAGCATTCCATTCTTTGACAGTACGTGGCAAAAATGAGGCCATACGGTACTGGGTCCTACCACCTGGCTGTACAAACTGTTGGCCGTGCACCCTTCTCTCACGTACTGGGGCAGGCTGTAGTTTACCCCTAAGACCATCTGTGCAGACGATATTATGCTGTATGCGGTATAGCATGGCAAGTCGGGCTGTCTTTCTTCGGGCCTGAAGACTGGGCCAGTTCAGGTCCTCTAGCATTTCTGTGGGACTTGACGTTTGCCTGTAACGTCTCATCACGAAACGTGCTGCTCTGCGCTGAACTGCCTCTAGCCTATCAATGTCTTGTTGGGAATGAGGGTCCCAGACTGTCGCCGCATATTCAAGTATGGGGCGTACATAGGTCTTGTAGGCCAATTCTTTAATGCGCCTGGAGCTGATCTTCAGGTTCCTCTTTAAAAAGCCCAAGGTCTTGTTGGCTTTGTTACAAAGGTTGTTAATGTGTTCTTTCCAGGTAAGGTCTTTTGTTATAGCTACACCCAAGTATTTAACACTGGGAACCGTCTTGAGGGTATGACCATGGAGCTGGTAGTCGTACTGAAGGGGTCTCCTACTACGGGTCACCCGCAGGGTCTGACACTTCCCTGGATGGAACGACATATCCCACTTCCGCTCCCACTCAGCAAGTCTCTCCAGGTCTTGTTGTAACAGGGCCTGGTCTTGCACGGAAGTGATGGTGTTATACGCAGCCGTGTCATCGGCAAATAGTCGTGCCGATGAAGTCAGTGCTGATGGCAAATCGTTGATGTATATCAAAAATAACGAGGGCCCCAGGACTGAGCCTTGGGGCACCCCCGATTTTACGCTGACAAAGTCTGAGCATTCCCCATTAACTACCACCGCTTGAGTTCTGTCTGTAAGGAAAGCTGTGATCCAAACGTTGACTTCCCCCCGGATGCCATAGTAGTGAAGTTTATGTTGTAGGAGGCTATGGTTGACTTTGTCGAACGCTTTTGGCAAAGTCCATCACTAGAATGTCCGTCTGCTGACCGCTTACCATGTTCTCAAACAACTCTTCAGTAAACTCAAGTAGTTGTGTTTCGCACGATCTTCCTCTTCTGAAGCCATGTTGTTGATTACAGAGAATACCATGCCCTTCTAAGTGATCCATCATAGTGCTAGTTAAAATATGTTCTAGCACCTTGCAACACACACTCGTTAGTGACACAGGACGGTAATTACCGGCATCATATTGTTCCCCCTTCTTGAACACCGGTTTGATGTGTGCTGATTTCCAGTCAGTAGGCAGAGTGCCTGTGCTAACTGATGTCTGGAAAATCATGGTGAGTGGCTCTGCGATCACAGTTGCAAGTTCCTTTAGGATCCTCGGGGAGATGTTATCCGGCCCAGGTGCCTTCGAAGGATTAAGATTCAGTAACAGTGCTTTTACCCCCTCAACCGAGATCTTAACCTTGTCAAGTATAGGATAATCTGCAGGTGGCATATCACACTTGTCCTGAAATTCCTCCTTGGAGTAAGCCTTGCCATCTCCGAATACTGAATGAAACTGTCTGTTCAATATGTCTGCTTGCTCTTTAGGGTCGGATACAAGACGACCTCCGTCCCTTAAGGCAGCGATGCCAACATTAGACGATTTCTGATGTTTTATATACGTCCAGAACTTCTTGTTTTTATCCCCCTGACCAGATTCGTCTTCTAAAAAGATGCTATCCAGGTAGGACCAGTAAGCTCTTCGCAACTGCCGCTGCACTTCTCTACGGAGTTTCTTATACTGGTTCTTAAGATCTTGTGTTCCACGTTTACGCATCTTCTTGTAGATGCGATCCCTTCTCTTGATAAGGCGGTGGAGAGCTGGAGTTATCCAGGGCTTATTTTCCTTCATCCGGACCAGCTTATGGGGGATAAACTCTTGGACGGCTGTCTGAAGACTGTCTTTGAAGGTGGACCACAACTCTTCAGTTGTAGCATTGTCTTTCATTAGCTCCATCCTGTCAGTTAGATCGGCCATAGACTTCCTGATACTATCCCAGTCTGCCTTCTTGTAGAGGGGTAGGAGTCTTGGATTCTGTTTCCTCTTCTGGGGGTGGACGATCACCTCACAGAAGACTGCGTCGTGGTCGGAAAGACCTGGTAAGACCTCTACTCGTGGGATCAACTGAGGTTGTGGTAACGATCAAATCCAGAATGTTCTCTCCCCTTGTTGGCATGTCCACCAGTTGCTCCAAGCCGTGATCACCAAGTATGTCGATGAACATATTATGAAGTCCAGGGTATCGGGGGTTCGGCTTCATCTGCATCGTTGTCCAATCCCAACCAAGGTAAGTTCATATCCCCTCCAATCAAGAGGTGAGCGTTAGGGATCTGCGCTGCTTTGCTGACTGAGGCGTTAAAACCTTCTAGACTGGCTCGATCTGATACATCAGGCCTGTAATAGGCACAGACATACAGGGTCTTGCGACCTTGTAACTTCACCCTAACCCAAATTACCTCACAGTTATCCACCTGCAGCTCTGGTACATCACTGCTTTTGAGCGTTGTGCGTACTGCCACGATTACCCCCACCACCATTCTTGTTACGATCCCTACGATACTGCCCTATAATGTGTCCGGAAGTATCTCAGAATCATACACAGTAGCGTCTAACCAAGTCTCAGTGGCAATGATAATGTCAGGTCTCACACTGTCAATCATGTTCAGGATGTCCGCTTTCTTACCAGGTGATGACTGCAGGTTTAAGTTCACCAATCTAAGAGGCCTTTTCATTTGTTTATCCTGTTGATTTATTCTTGTTGGAGTAGATGAGTGAAGTGGGCGTTTCATTTGAAGCTCGGTAGGAGTCCAACAAGAATTTATGGAGGCATCTGAATGTGTCATCCCTGACTGTGATTCTTGCTCTACTCCATATAAGTCAAAAACTGTCTTACTGTTCGGGTTCCCACAGATGGCACAGTGCCAGGAGAAGTTGTCTCCGAGATCCTCATGGTGCTGGTAAAGTTCTGTATCCATGCTCTGGCAGTGGGCATGAAACCACTGTCCACAGGTGTCACAAGCCAGTCCTCTGTCGTCCCAGCCCACTGTCCGGTCACAAGTTCCACACATCCAAGATGAGTGAGTCTGGGAGCCAACAGGAGCTCCGTGTACAGCTTCCTCGGGGCCTGGGTTGGGTTCTGGTGCGTAGGAATTACTTAGTAAAATGCTGGCAAGATACAAGAGGACAAGTCGTTGTCTACAGAAGCTTGGGAGGGTAGCAGACTTCCGGGTCGACGAACGAGTGATGGACTCCACTAAGGCACAGTATGAGACACCCATAGTACGGAACAAAGTCTTGTCAGAGAAACTAACTGCGTCCAAGATCACATCCTCGGGTGAAGTTGCATCAGCTTTGAAGGTTTTGTAACTGAAGACGATGATAACGATCGCAGAGAGTGTAATGTTGGCTGAGAACATATTTCAAAAGCTTCACTGGGGGTTTTCCTCAAAAGTAGTCTCTAAATAAGAAAATTCCATATACTAGATTCCAATTCAGGATGTCGCAGTCTTCTAGAGGTCACAAAACAAATAGTATAACAAAAGAGAAACGTCTATAAACTCAAAAATAAAGATCATCCGAGTGGGAGGGGGGCGTCATGCCTTGACATCCATAATTACGGTATGTGTAGTTATAAATGACATCCTGACCAATGCCATAACACTGTTGACATGGGCATTAAGGGCACTGTACTGTATCCTATGAGGAAAACATACATACACAGAGAGAGTGGGGGAGATAGGGTTAGAAGTCTTCATCCAATTATCTATCCTAGATCTAGAGACTGTCAACAATTGCTAAAATATATGTACAAACCAGGGCGGACTGTTTTGAATATTCAGTTGTTCTCGGTGCAAACCATCCAGCCAGTCCAATAAGATATTTAAAAACCAAGTAATTCAAGTACCACATTTTCATCACTTTGCAGTTAATATGATTTCTTTGTTAATTTTTGCATTTTTGTACATAAACATTAATATGCAAATTCAGTTCCATTGTCAACATCATTTGCATCACTTGTCATATTTATTTAGTCTGTTTTCTGTACGTAATAATTTGTCCTGTTTCTTTGTTTCTTTTACACGACGATTATGATTGTAAATTGTATCTTAGTTAGTTTTTTTTTTTTTTACTTTTCTGTTATAATATTATGTATTGTTCTGAGCAGAGAGCGTTGGAAACCGCCATTGGCGATATGCTGCCCCTGGATGAATAAATAACAAGAATCCGGAGATATCATACCTCCATGAAATATGTACATGTACAAAAACAAAAAGTTCTGCTGCAGTACCAAGGTCAATGACCAGGAGGCCCATATTTGACCTTGACCTTTGTCTTCCTATGACCTACCAACATACCAAATATTATCACAGTCCATAAAGGCGTTCTGAAGTTATGCTGTTTAGAAATGTGCGGAAACACACACACACAGACAAACACACCAAAAACAATACCTCCATTTTTCATGGAGGTAAAAATGAAACGAAATTGTATACTTACCACAGTCAGCACACGTCTGTTTCCCCGGACGGTCCCCCAGCAGCCCAGCAGTCCGACAGCCATGGTGAGGGTCCCGGTGGTGAGGAGGGCCCAGGAACACAGTACTACAGACTGCGGACTGTCGGCGTCCTGACGGAACAATCCTGGCTGTTTTCCATTTACCCATGCTCCAACACCAAATAAAGCAGTACCAGCAAACTTAGGAATAAGAAATTGGAGAAGGTATAATAAGAATTAAACTTGGCATGAAAGTTCATCTGTGTTGGTACAAGTCAATATGAAATAAAGACTAAGCTTTAACTTCCAACACTTAGACTACAGAAATGGGACTTACCCGTACCCCAATCCGTGAACAAGGTTGATGGAGTCATTCGAAAATTTGGGGTAAGTCCCATTTCTGTAGTCTATCTGTTGGAAGCTTAGTCTTTATTTCATAAGAATCAAACTGTTCTCTAAGTCAAGAATTCCCAGTTTAATTCTTACTATGTATTTTACCGACTCAGATGCTAGTAAAATCGGAGAAGGTTAGACATTCAGGTGATCAGATAAGCAAGAAACACTTACTTAAACAAATAGAGTTTAGAGTTGGAAACAGCCAAACGTTTCTAGTAGCATTTGCTACTTCTCGTCAGTGATGTAGCTGGAAAGAAGAAATCTGCAAAACTTCGACACAGAACAGCCATCACAAAAGTCCGAAATAGTTCACACAAACTCCACATAGAAAAAGCAGACATAATTATAACCGCATGCCTTCCTAAACAGAAAAAGATGGAAAAAATGAGGAAGAGAGTCATTTTGTAGTTGATTGTACATGATATAAAAATGAGAGGGATTCCATCTATACTTATATAAGATGAGCTCCCCACCTGTAGACTTCTAGATGAACCAGATAAATCCTTATGAAAGTTGACAAACCATGTATCATTAGCTTCATATGTTCGTACATTTACAACTGCCTCAAGAAGCAAGTAAATAGTAGTTCACATTAGTATATATATATATATATGTATTGTTTAAGTAAGATATTACTGTAATTTTGTGTTCTGTTTATTTATGACATGTAATTAGCTTGTAAGAGCATTAGCGTACAATAAAGAAGGTCTTTCACTCATTGTTATTTCGTCAGTCACTGGCGAATAGCAGTAGAAGATTCTTCTTGAAACGTCAGGTTCAAACTCTATCTAGTTGCCGAATGAGTAACTTTGCTTTTAATCAATTCTAGTAAAATTATGTAGCTTTTACGTCATCTTAATATTTTACAGAACAGCTCAGTCACTACGTATTAAAAAGAGCACATGTATTGCCAGATTACTAGTAACTTCCTTACCAGTAGACAAGAGTTGACGACAGCCGAACTGCATTCCAATACGCCATAAGAAATGTCCAAACAGTTCATCTCCATTTGAGACTTCGAAATCTTGCTGGGCTTCAAGATGATGCTTAGCACAATGAGTCCAGTATTGAAGTGGACATTCAACCTGTTATCGCTATTAGTTATGACGTGTCCTTTTTGTTCAAGGGTTTACAATGGCCGAGTAGCGGCCATTTTGATATAAAGCTAATGCACTCACCTGTTAATCATTGACAAACGCTTTGTGTGTTTCTAACTACTGTGCGTAATGCATTGTATACTTCCTTATAGTTAATCATTGACATTGGCGAACGCTTAAACCATTGCACGTACTAGTTTTTCTAGTCTACAGCAGACGCCTTTGCAGGCTAAATGAATAGTAGAAATCAGCTTAAAAAGGACTCCCCTAGCCACTTACATTCCTTTTAGGCTGATTTCTACTAGCTATTCAACCTGCAAGAAGGCCTGGTGGAGGCTATAGTTTTTTCCATCTCTAGGCATCGGCAATTGTATTTTTGGAAGTATTTTTGCGAGACTATTTTAGATTCTTATAGACGAAAAAAGATCTATGGCCGTCGTTGACTTAATACCGCACATTCACGTCTGTACCAAGAATTAATCCCCAAGCAGATGTTTGGCGGCAAAAGCGTTACAGTTAACTGGCGCAGCGAGAGAGGCACACACATGGGCACGCGCGCACACGCACAAACACACACAGACACATACACACACCGCATCTACCCTTTCTGTGGATGATTTACATGTACAGGGGTGCCAGAGTATACAGTGCAATTTTATGGAGTACAGTGCAATTGTTACTAGTATCCAGTGCAATTTTACAAATTCAGTACAATGGTATTAGTATACAGTGCAATTTTGCATACTTATACGATTGCACTCTATTCCGTAAAATTGCACTGTATACTAATACGATTACTGTATTCCGTAAAACTGCACTGTATACCAATGGCAAAATGAGAATTGCAATGTATTCCATAAAAAATTGCAGTGTACTGATACGATTGTACTGTTTTCCGTAAAATTGCGCTGTATTCCGTAAAATTACACTGTATTCCGTAAAAATCACTGCATACTCCTTATGTACGTTCATTCACCTGACATTAGCTGCCCCCTGGCGGAAAGTATAGGAAAACCAGGACTGCAGATTGCCTCCTGGTAATGAAAATACATAATCCGATTCCTTTTATACGGAGCTGAAACTTTATTGAACACACATGGTCATTATCAATCAAGGTTTGTTTTTCCACATGTAGTGTCGTGAGTTAAGAGAATATGCATGCTTCAAAGTCATATTTCAGGGGCATCAACTAACAGAACTACTAACTTAAATGTTTGAAAATCAACTTACTTTTCACTCGGTATAAGGTAAGTACAGCTTTAAAGCATTTTCCAAGACACAAGATATACAAATATTCTGTATACGTACATATTGGACGAAGACATTGTATGCATGTAAAAAGGCTGAATGACATCATTTTACGGTGGGGTTGAGGCCAAGTCAGAGAAGTGGTAAAATTATGCCCTAAGACCACAGCATCTTAATTTGTTTGTTCTCGGATTTTTTCAGAAAAACATATGAAGTGACAGGGCGAAAAAAAACAGGTCTAGGCATCCTATAATAGCCCCAAATGCTACAACAGGAGCCATGAAGTCAACACAAAAGGCTGGGTTAATATTTAAACAATGACTTTTCAAACCACTGCATTGATAGATGGAAAAACTGTAAAAACTAACTTTAAAGGAAGAAAAGGACTTTCCTTAACTGTTGGGGGCAAAACATGAGCATAATTAGGTTGATTCAGAACCAGAATCTTGTTGTGGGTGCAATCAGAAAAAAACGAAGAGGCGAATCCGAGAACCAACAAATTAAATTGATGTGGCCTGAACAATAATGTTACATGCAAAACAACTAAAGGCATCCAATGCAATTTCAGGGCAGCAAAACGAAATATTCTGGATGAGGAAATCTATGAAATATTATCATACTTTAAGCATTAAAAATAGTCCCAAAACAAGATAAAAGTATGTTAAGAGTCCCTTCTGTTTAGGTACCACTAATAAATTGCCTACGGTACAAAACATGTAACATTAATATTTTCTGTCAGTGACACCTGATTCTTGCCTGAGATATCAGAATAATATGGAAAAGGATTGATTTAACTTACTACATTTAAAATATGACTAGAAAAATGAAAATCCAATTCTACAGCCCTCAAATTGTTTTGGGTGCCTCAAATGTTTAAAAGGCCACACCAATTTAATTTGTTGTTTCTCGGATTTTTTTCCAGAAAAAATATGGAGCGACAGGGCGAAATAAAAAAATAATAAAACAGGCCAAGGCACCCCATGTTACGATATGAGCCATGAAGTGAACACACCAGGCTGGTTTATAATTAAAACAATAGATTTTGAACTTGAAACGAAACAAAACTGCATTGTTACATTGAAAAACTTTAACAACTACAAAGAAGAGGACTTTCTTTAACCCTTGGGGCCAAAATATGTCTTTCATCAAGCATTTCGCAGTTGATTTAGAACAATTTTTTTTTGCAAATCAGAAGAAAAAGGACAGGGCAAATCTGAGAAACAGCGAATTAAATTGGTGTGGCCTAACTGTAACTAAACCTTAACAATAAAGTACATTTTGATAACAGTGGAGTCTTCTGGCATTTATTCAGTAAGCCATTAAGTAAAGTAAAATAAGCTCCATACACATTAAAATATTAAGCATATATTAACATTACATTGATGGGAAATTCTAAACCATGGTTCATTTCTGAGACACATTTCTTCACATGGTAACATTGAGGTCACTAGAAATGTTAACAAGTGAAAATCATCACTTCGTTTTACTTTTCAGTTCTTAGGCCACACCAATTTAATTTCTTGGTTAATGGATTTTTCTAGAAAAATAATGGAGCGGGCGGGCAAAAAAAAAAACAGGCCTAGGCATCCTATTATGGCCCAAAATGGTACGATAGGAGCCCTGAAGTCAACACATCAGGCTGGTCAAAAATTTAAACAATGAATTTTGAACTTTTAATGAAACCACCGCAATGAAAGATGGAATAACTGTAACAACTAGGATGAAAAGGGACTGTTTTCAACTGTTCAGGGCAAAATATGAGCATTTTGCAGTTGATTCTGAATTTTTATTTTTATTTGCAAATCAGAAAAAATGAAGCGGGCAAATCCATTAACCAAGAAATTAAATTGGTGTGGCCTTAGCAAACAAGAAAATGCAAGCCTGTAACATAACAAGAGAAGCTCCTCTAAGCAATGATTTCAAAATAACTTTTGTTGGAAAGAGAAAGATGATCACTTTGAAGCACAAAATTATTTTAGACAATATATTCTTAGATTAAGGGACCAATACTACAATAAATGAGTTTTCAACCTTCTTCTTAGGCCACACCAATTTAATTTCTTGGTTAACGGATTCGCCGCTTCATTTTTTTCTGATTTGCAAATAAAAATAAAAATCCAGAATCAACTGTAAAATGCTCATATTTGCCCTGAACAGTTGAAAACAGTCCTTTTCATCCTAGTTGTTACAGTTATCCCATCTTTCAATGCAATGGTATCATTAAAAGTTCAAAATTCATTGTTTAAATTTTGAACCAGCCTGGTGTGTTGACTTCATGGCTCCTATCGTACCATGTTGGGCCATAATACGATGCCTTGGCCTGTTTTTATTTTTATTTTTTTTTCGCCCACCCGCTCCATTATTTCCTAGAAAAATCCGTTAACCAAGAAATTAAATTGGTGTGGCCTTAGTAAATAACCTCAAAACTGACAGAAGTTTGGTTCCCAAAGACCACATTATGAGAGGGTTGCATGGATATTTTCAAAATCAATACTTTGAAAGTGACATTGTGACACAAAAATGCTGAGCTTTATTTTTAAAGGCAATATAATCATATTCAATGCATGTATAAAAGCAATATGTATTGTAAGTAACAGAAAGTCTATAAGTGCTATGCTTATAAAATGAAGGGTCTAACATACTTTGTGAATAGTGAGTTATTGATAAAGCACAAAAATATAGCACTACAAAAGTTCTGTAAATTTGTTTTTCTCACCACTGTTAGGCCACACCAACTTGATTTCTTGATTCTCATATCGAAAAACAGGAATATGATAGATATAATATCAATACAAAAGGACAATATTATTGTTGCAGAATAGTTTGTACATTAGAATTAATTTACTTAGTATCAAGAGTGAATGTAGTGCGAGAAGTTTTTTCTCAAGAATCTATATTCATTTTAGTTGGTATCTTTCTGAAATTTTGTTTAAAATTGTCCCTAAACCAAGAAAATAATTTGGTGTGACCTTAGCTTCAAATCTAAACATTTTGGGGATAAACAGATATTCAAATAATGAGAGACGGTAAACAACATACGATAAACCGGAATGTGGGCACAAAAGACAGGGCAATTCAACTTTAATTTCAGCATGACTACAAAAATTATAAACATTTCCAAAGAGAATGAAATTTTGTAAAGCTGCACTACCAGATCAATGAATTAATTTTTTCGGGACTTGCCTAGGATTCCAAAACAAAAGTACAAGGTGATATTTTAATTCACTAAACGTGTTTTCCAACAATATATTGGGTGGCAACGACTCACAAATATACTCAAGGAGATTTATACATTTTCAAACAGTTTTCTTTGATGGTAGTTGCTACAGTATATACAGTGCACACAGGTGGATCTCATATCGTACGCCAGTCAATTTTGGTCTTACTCTTTTATTCTTCTTGTTAGTTTTTCTTCACGGGGTTGGAAAGTTATCAAAACAGTGTGTCCAAGGTTCATGTCAAATTATCAACTCACAAAATATGTCAGTTGTTGTCATTAAGTGCTAAGGAAAAAAACAAAAAATGGACAAACTACTTTTTCACGTGTACTACAAAGCTATATGAAGGACAAAAAATGTCTACATTTGGGATATATTGATGAATTTCCTATATCATAATGAATGGGGAAAATCATACTGGAATAGTCCAATAGATTAAGAAGAAAAGCTTAAATGAAGTTCAAATTTGACAAGCAAGCCTGCTGCATTTTATAGTAGCTGCTATTCAAAGACTATAAAACCAAGGGTAACATTTTTGTACCTACATTCTACAGGAAGAAAACTATTCCTGACATGTACATGAATATCAGTATTGTACCTACATGTACATGTACATGCCTGTTTTTGGCCTTATGGTTTGCTATTGATGAATGTACATGTATAGTTCTGCTTCTTTTTTAGTCATTACTCCACTCTATTGGTTGAGTTTTACTTGATGTTATATACTGCAGCTTATTGATATACCTGTATCATACTGTAGGACTTCTATGTACAACTTGTAAAATTGTTCTGCTATAGGGGGAACGGTTGGTTGTCGGCAGTCAGCGCGGGTTCTGTTGAGTCCTGCTGCTACAAGAAGGGATTGCTGGGGTTGGCTTGTGGTGCAGCTCCCTGTCAGGGAAAACAACAAGAACTTTGGATCAAAACTTGTAAACTAGAAATTTCTGGCATGTACAATTTGTACATGTACATTTGTACTTCTGCTAACTGGTAGCTCTACAATAACTGAAAAACAAGGAGAATATGGTTCCAAGTGAATTCTTTCATCAGTGACAACTTTGGAAGGATAAGGATACTAATCTCCAAATTTTGGATGGCTATCAGTCCATCTTGTTCACGGAGTGGCCTAATCTCGCGAGAGCGCGAGACTAGGCCTGAGACTTGCATCTCTCGAGACATGCGCTCTCGCGAGATTAGGCCACTCCGTGAACAAGATGGACTGATAGCCATCGAAAATTTGGAGGTTAGTATCCTTATCCTTCCAAAGTTGTCACTGATGAAAGAATTCACTAGGAACTGTATCTATACGTGACAAATGAATCTCTTCAACAAAGGAGAATATGAATTTAGATAATCATACTATTATTTGTTCCATTTTGTATCTGTTAGGGCCACACCGACTTAATTTTATGGGCGACATCCCCTGAAGACCCCCAAACTAGTGAAAAAAAAAAAAATTCCGGCCAAAAATAAAAAAGGTACTAAACTACAATGTATACAGGAATACAAAGCTAGTATAAATGAATTAGCGGCAGTACACAACAATGTATATGACAAGCTGGCACATGCTGGCTTTGTGCAGAATTTATGAATCGGCACTGTACGTACATGTACATGTATGTACTGAGTTAAAGTCGTAAAGCATTGGTAGCCTGGGTGCCATCCTCCAGAGTTACATGTACCACCTCTATATTGTCGCTAACTATAGAGCCTCAGAAGTTTTTTTTTTAGAACATGCAAAAATCAATGTGCGCACGGATGTCATCCAAAAAATTAAGTCGGTGTGGCCGAACCTTATTTGTTAGTCATTTTTTGTTGTGACCTACACTTATATGTAGCGTAGTGGGGAAAATATGTGCAATAAAGGTCGTCGTTCAAAAACAGAAAAACAGGTTCTGCTTATAATAGAGCCCTGTTAACGTTGTTGATAAGGCCATGTTGATTTAAATAATTAATATGTGGATTGACATCCTCTTGGAACACCAAAACTGATGCAAGCGTGCGAATAAAAAAAAGTTTGGCCCCCCAAAAAGTTGCTTTCATTATGAAATCTACAATCATGGTTTTGAGGGTTGAACAAATGACACAGTATGGTTTGGCAAATAATCTAGTCTTCAAAAAAATTCATTTCTTTACATTTTCGTCTTTTTCATTTAATTTTGGCATTCTACGACATTAGTATCTTATTCAAATTTTTTTTTAAACTCACGGTATATATTTGCTCATTTTGCAACTGTTTTGTACGATTTACAGTATGGTTGAAAACTTTTTTTTTGAACAGCCGAAAATTCATGCACGTGCGTATGTCATCCATATAATCAAATCAACATGGCAAATCACAAGCTGTACTGACCATGAATGGGTTTCCAGCTGCTTGTTTCTGTCCCCAGCCTGTGAACTGTTGTTGTTGTTGTTGTTGTTGGGTGTAGGCCCCGCCCTGTGGCATGGCCCCGCCCTGTGGACCACCCGGCATCCCTGCACCACCAAAACCACCTGCACCTGATAACAACACAAACACAATCAACATGGCTTCCTGTGCACCTAGTACATGGAAATTTTAGGTTGAGAATCCTATAGACTAATACAATGTAAATGTAAATATAAATGAAAAAATTAGTCATTTGCCAATGGTGTATGCCAAATATGTGTCTGCTATTCTGTAGACACACGTTCAAGGTACCCTTATATCGAATTTCAGATCATTTGGTTGTAATACCAGGGCTCAGGATCCAAAAGTCCAATTTTTTGTCGAAAAATGCCTAAAAAAAACTACATAAAAAAATTTCAAAATAAGGCATTTATCAAAAAATGAAAAAAAAACACCTGGGGGTATTGGCCCACTCTACCTCCATGCCAAATTTCAGGTCATTTGACTAAAAAATGACAGAGTTGAATCCCTTTGACTGTGTGGCAGGAGGAGGAGGAGGAGAAGGAGGAGAAGAAGAAACATCAGAGAACACAATATATTTCATCCATACCATGGTATGGACTGAAATATAATAACAAAGTATCCCAGATGCAGATCTTGTGGCTATTTTTATAACTATTCACTGTCTTGTTTCACCATGCAGGGTGGTTGCGATTGGCATTTTCATTGACTTTTATGTGAGACCACTGAAAACATAGTAAGAACAAATCGTGGAAAGTGTAACATGCATTATTCTGAAACAATTATGCAAGCAATGCATGATTAAATTTCATCATATCATCAAGCAACTATATCAGTCAGTTACAGAACAGATCTGGAATATCTTCCCATCTACATGTACAATGTAGATTATGTGCAAATCAGGGACAAAATTGTACAAAATTAAAATTGCATTCATTTCCTGTGTAAAACATGTAGATGTTTGTGTAATATAGAGTTGTGCATTATAGATACATGCAGCCACACTTGAATGAGTGCACGTGGTCTACATGTGCATGGCTTTTGCACAAGTTTTAACCATGTGTGTTGCTTTTACATGGCTTTCAATTTAATTTAACTACAATTTACTTGTACGTGACTTTTGCACAAGACAAAACTGCATGTGAAACATGTACGAAGTGAGGTTAATCAAGATCTGTATTGAACTTCTTCTGTTAGTCAGTCAAATTATCTTTACCATATGGGTTCATCTGTTGTTGTTGTTGTCCACCGTATCCCATCTGTGCCGGCACCCCTCCCCCCTGGCTGAAGTTGCCCCACCCTCCGTTAGACACGGGCTGGGCCCCCTGCTGCAGTCCGACTCCCCCATATACCGCTGCGTTGTAACTGGGCGGGGCCGCTCCACTCGTGGCGCCAGCAAAGCCTGCCTGACTCCCGCCAAATCCGGTCTGACTCAGCGGAACACCAAACCCTGCTGAACTGGTAGGAACACCGCCGAAACTCCCAAAATTACCACCAACAGCACTCTGTGCCTGCTGGCCAAATCCACCTGTATGGAGGTAAGATTATACATTTTAAAAAAAATTAGTCAAAATCAAATCACCATACAGATCTCAAATAATATCCCATCTAAATGATTCCCACAATGCAAAAGTATGTAAATATTCATTCATTATTAGAAAAAATACTGAAACTCGTGATTAGCCCACTCGATTGTAACACTTTAACAAAGACTTGTGCTAGTCCTTATTGTTGAAGTAATTAGGATATGTTAGATTTTATTCTATATTTAGGTCTTATTCAATACATATAAATAATTTTACTTATTTGTTATACATGTTTTTGTACTTTGCCATACATTGTACAATGTGCAATTGTCATGCAATAAAGTTCTACTTAATATATTGTCTAAAGTCTGCAAATTGCAATGAAAAATCATTAAAAAAACCTTTTAGTACTATTCAAATATGTAAAATTCAATTTGATTAAACCAAGTGCAAAAGCAACTTACTCTTTGTTGGATTTATTTTCATGTAAAACGTGTAGAAGTTTGTGTAATTGTGTGTGGTTATGTGCTATAAAGATAGCCACACAATGGTTTACACATCTTTTGCAGGACTTCAACCACATGTTACACAGCTTTTTACACAAAGTCATCCTACAGATCTAGACTTACCCCCCATGCTTGTCTGTGGCTGTGTTCCAAACGCCCCGTTAGGCTGTCCACCCCCGCCGCCTCCGAAGAATGGATTAGTCCCAGGTGCTGCTGCAGGGGCTGTACTACTGAGGAAGGGGTTGGCAGGTCCTGGGGAGGGGGGCAAAAACATTTGTCTTGTGTATAATTCTAACAATTGCAATTATGACTGGCCACAATTCAATTTAATTTCTTGGTTTAACAGATTCTACTCGTTCAATTATCATCTTAAGGCATCCCACGCAATTTGGGGCCGGCAAAACTAAAAGATTATGGGGAAATCTGATTTGAAATGAACATTTACTGCCATTTCTTATCACATTTCGTAAATGAAGAGTTTGCAAGAACCCAAAATGTTGCTACTTTTTGGTACCACCAATAAATAGCTAGAACCTGCCTACAAAACAAGTAACTGGGCCCTCTTGGAAATCAACAATTTTCTGTTGAAGAGGCCACCTAGGTGTTTATTACCCTGGATGCCAGACCCAAAGCACACTGGACACAAAATATCTCAGTGTGCAAGGGTCTGGTAGGGTCTCTTAGGAAAGGCTCTCGAGCAAAGGGTGGAGAAGCTGTGATTGATGACCCCTCACACCACAGGTAGCCTGTTACATGGTACCACCATTGGTCAGCAGGAGACAATCTTGGCCTCAACAGTTAATCATTAACCAGTCAATTTTCTAAATGTTTTTGGAGTTTATTTTCCAAAATAACAGCAGAACTTAGTCTAATAGTAGAAGTAGTGTACAGCCCAGGCTTTCCTGTTTGTTTAGGTAACAGTCCTCTAACACATTAGGACAAAATACACCTTATCTACAGTTTTATCTCATCTGCTGGTGAAGATTCAAAGATCCAGCTGGGAGTTTTTAACCAATCATAGCAGAGGTGTAGAATTGCTTCCTGCTGTGCCACCAATTGGGCCTTACGCTCAAATACTGAGCGTTGGAGTGGCAGGTCTATCTGACCCTACCAGACCCAGGCTCACTGAGATATTTGTGTCCAGTGTGCTATGGGTCTGGAACCCAGGCTAGGTGTTTATAAGATGAAATAAATAAATAAACCGTTTTTTCATCGACAAAAAAAATTGCATCGGCGGAATGTACTGCACCTGCACAAAAGCCAGATTTTTCATCTGTGTTTGTGCTTCACAATTTTGCCTGTTGCAGATGACATCTTTTCTGACACAACATTTGAAAACTATAACGAGATGCCATCCCTAAATGCATGTATGCAACAACCTCACAATATCTTTTGTGACAATACATGTATATTCCAGATTTCACAGTTTCAATCAAGCACAGTACATTCTGCAAATGTGCTCTTGGAGAGTAGTGATGACAGGTTATACATGTGACAGGGACATACCTGGAGCAGCTACTGTCCTGGCCATGGAGGATGTGGTAGAGGATGTCTGTCCCCAGCTCATGCCTGTACTGGAGCTTCCACCAAGTGCCGGCTGGCCTGCAGAACCCCCTCCAGAGCCCCAGTCCAGGCTACAAGAATTACCACACAAAATACAGTCATTTTTTGCAACAATGTTTACAGAGATTGTATGTTACAAGCTACTCTAGTGTATGTACTACATAGTGGTAAATGTGTTTTGTGTAGTGTTAGAAACTTGAAGCACTGTGACCAAACTTGTCTTGGTTGGCCCTCCTGAAAAAATGTGTGCTGCATGCCAGGCGAACAGCTCAGCTTCCACTATTTGCAATGTATAATGTTGGTAATGTACACATTTAGAGTACAGCTGTGTACCTTTTCAATACTGTAAAACAAATTTCAAGAAGAGGAACAGGTACTTGTACATGTACAGCAGTTATAGGGTATTTCTACTTGATAATGTACATTTAACAAGTTTGGCAGAATTAGACAAGTCATGTACTAGTCAAATGTCATTCTGACAATGTCACTTGAAAATATTTTTATCTTGAGTTTAAAAAGTGGTGTCCACTAGCATTGTGTTTTATTCACTGGTACAGGTACACTAGATATTCAGGTCTGGACCTGTACCTAAATAATTTTACAGGTATAAATGTACATTGAATACAATGTAAGGTACACCGCTCTACATGTAGTTGGTTAACACATGGCAAAACATCACATGACAGACAAGACTGGTTTGCAATCATGGTACTCTGAGCTTAGTTACTGTACAATAATTATGTACATTGCATTTAAAGTCATCTGATGCAATTTCAGGGCAGCAACGAAATTTTTTTTTTGCATAAGAAAATCTGTCTGATATTGGCATTTATTGCCGTTTTTTTGCATCCTTTATTCATAATCATAGTTTTATACTTTAAGTGTTTAAAATAGCTCAAAACAAGGTACGGTGAGGACTCCCTTTATTTTTTGGTACCACCAATAAATAAACCAAGCCTACAAGCAACCATTTTCTGTTAGCAACGTCACAGATATACATTAAAAATAGACCTTAAAATTGACCTAGAAAATCCAGTTTTAATGCCCTGAAATTACTTTAGGTGACTTTAATTAAGCAAAACATCAATTGAAGCTGGAATTTTGTTGATTTTGTTGACATTTACCACCTCCTGTGAGATGTTCCATGGCTAGACTAGATGAAGACATACAAAACATACTTGTAGGGGTTAGAAGAGGGTCTGGAGGCAGCCTGCAACCCCTCAGGTTGTCCAGAAAAGGTGGCCCCAAAGTTTGGGGATCCAGACACAAGGCTAATGGTGTGAAACCAGGCACATGAGATACTGGACTGACTTACTAGTACATAGGGAGAAAACCCTACGCCTCAAATACAATTATTTTTTACTTTAAGCGCATCAGGGTAAACATAAAAGCTGGAATACATTGGAATACAATGAACTGAACAAGTAAATCTTCATAAAACTAGAAACATTTTTCCTTTGCTAGGATAATCTCAATATTTGTTATTAAAGAGAGATTAATTGGCTGACTAACATGGGCAGAAACCCTTCTTCTCAAGTACAACTATCTTTTACTTTAAGGGCATTCGGGATAAACATAAAAGCTGGAATACATCGGAATACAATGTATTCCGATGATCAGCTGAGCAGGTACATTGTACAACAGTTGTACATTTAACTTCATAAAACTAGAAACATTGAGACACCCATTTTTGTTTTTGCTAGAATGAACCGAATATTAATTTTGTTACTAGTATTATATTGGACCGACTGATATGGGGAGAAACCCTTACAAGTACAATTATCTTGGACTTTTTTTTTATAAGGGTATGAGGGTAAACATAAAAGCTGGAATACATTAATTTGACACCAAATGTAAACAAACATGGGTGACAGCTGTGTTTCCAGCTTTTAAACAAACTTGTAAGGTGTCATATTTTGGACCCTCCACTTCCAGAATGGCACTTATTTGCAATGGCGTAGGGTTGATTCAAAGTACTTTGTAAAGAAATGACTTAAAATAATTGACTTTTTGTATTGGCCCAATGTTACATAATGCAGCTTCTATGATCTACATGTACATGACTGTACATAAATTTCAGGTGGCATTTCAAACCCTGTGAATCCATAATTTCCATATGTTCTACAGTTAAACTGTAACAGTTACAGTTTATTGTTTCTTTAGCATATGCTTGGTCTAGCCTGACATTAGATCTTTGCACAGTGAAACAACACTAATTGAGTGGAAGTGATGCATGTTAATATGATCTTACAATTCAAAACACACCAAGATGGAAAACATCTACAGACTGAGTTAGTGGTGGAATATGGAGTTAAAAACAGGCACAAGTAAACAAAAAGAATGCATTCTGTGTGAAACACCACCAAGGCCACACCAATTTAATTTGTTGGTTCTCAGATTTTTTCAGAAAAAATATGAAGCGACAGGGCAAAAGAATAAAAAAAAACAGTCTAGGCATCTTAATATAGCCCCAAATGCGATGATAGGAGCCATGAAGTCAACACAAAAGGCTGGGTTAAAATTCAAACAATAAATTTTGAGCTTTTAATCAAACCACTGCATTGATAGATGGAAAAACTGTAGGAAGGAAAGGACTTTCCTTAACTGTTGGGGGCAAAATATGAGCATTTTTTCAGTTGATTCAGAACCAGAATCTTTTTTTTTTCAAATCAGAAAAAAATGAAGACTGAGGCAAATCCGAGAACCAACAAATTAAATTGGTGTGGCCTAAATGTGAGATTGCTTATCGTCAGAATTTCAAATAAGGCCACACCAATTTAATTTCTTGGTTAATGGATTTGCCCGCTTAATTTTTTTCCGATTTGCAAAAAAAAAAATTCAGAATCAACTGCAAAATGCTCATATTAAATGCCCTGAACAGTTGAAAATAGTCCTTTTTTCCCCTAGTTGTTACAGTTATACCATCTTTCAATGCAGTGGTATTATTAAAAGTTCAAAATTCATTGTTTAAATTTTGAACCAGCCTGGTGTGTTGACTTCATGGCTCCTATCGTACCATTTTGGGCCATAATAGGATGCCTAGGCCTGTTTTTATTTTTTTCTCCTGCCCGCTCCATTATTTTTCTAGAAAAATTCTTTAACCAAGAAATTAAATTGGTGGGGCCTAATATAACAAATAATATCACATATTTGACCTACAGTATGAAAACCTTACAGATTTCACCACCCACCTGGTCTGATTGGTGGAGTCTGTACTGAACAGGTCAGCCAGCGCCGCGTACTTGTCTGACCCTGTTGACCCCTGGGCCGGTCCACTGGAGGCTGCTGCGGGGGTGGAGGAGGTGAATGCACCAAAGTCTCCAGAACCCATGGAGCCTGCACTACTCATAGCGGGGGGCAGGCCTCCTGTCAACACATTACATCACAGATTGATGAAACATACAAATCTAGAAACTTTAAGGTAACATTTGTAAAGCATTGATCATGGTTCGAAAGCCTTATGCGTGTCCTGTTGCAAGTTTCACTTTGTTAACTGTATTGTATAAATTAAATCACTATACAGAGATCTGGCCAAAGTCTAAAAAAAAGAAAGAAAAAAAAGATTATCCTAGTCCTTATGAAAAATTTAAACTGTTCTCCAACTCAAAATTTGACTCACCGGAATTTTCGACTGAATCACTCAGTCTTCCTCAGCTATCTGACCCAAATGCTGTAGACATGTGATTTTTCCCCACGTGTGACATCAGTAAAGCGTCAAAGGTTGTCTGAAGCTCAACCGGGACGGGGGGCGATATCAACTTCAGACAACCTTTGACCCTTTGCTGACGTCACACGTGGGAAAAATCACATGTCTACAGCATTTGGGTCAGATAGCTGAGGAAGACTGAGTGATTCAGTTGAAAATTCCGGTGAGTCAAATTTTGAGTTGGAGAACAGTTTAAATTTTTCATAATATAATTCATCAACTCAGATGAACTTCCATGTTGATGATCCTACATACCACCCTAATTTTTTCAGGACTGAAACAGGAAACACAACATTCTTTTTTCCTAGGCGTAAAGAAAAATTAGGCCTAAAGAATATATAGTTTCACCTGCAAATCACATGCAAATTACAAGTTGCATGTTGGTATTTCAAGCCCTGTATACAGTTGATTCATTGTTATTAGAATACAGCTAGGCTAGTAAAGTACCTGCATTTGGCTGAGCAGCAAACCCAGGTGCAGAGCCCGAGGAGAAAGCCTGGTCGAAGTTGGCAAAACCCCCATTCATACCCCCAGCTCCTCCTCCTACAGCCGGTGGTGGTGCAGCAGTTCCCATTCCTGACAATAACAACAAACACAGGATCATGAGAAAGAACAACATTGCTTGGGAGCGAATGCAGCAGATTTCACTCTATCCCCCTTACTAAAAAGGAGTGTCAAATATCAATCTTCCATGTATGTAACAAACTCTGATACCAGGTAATCCTGTACAGGTGGTTATTTCATCACCAGTCCTGGTATAAGAGACTGCTGTGGTACAGGTGGTTATATCAATAATTACCTGGTATAGAGACTGCTGTGGTACAGGACTGGTGGTTATAGAATACAACACGGTGTATACCGTATCGCCCGAGGTACCAGCCCGACCGCGAGTCGGATCGCCCGAAGGCCGGAGGGAGATCCGATCCGCGGGAGGGCTGGGACCGAGGGGGATACGGTATACACCGTGTTGTATTCTATAACCACCAGTCCGTGTTATATTTTATTTATGTCATACCCACCCAAGAAACACGCCTTTCAAGCGAAATGAGAAAAAATTTTGGTCCCTAAACCCAAAAAATGCGACAACATCAATTCCAACGTCCGGATTCTGTATTCGAATTTCGAAATTGAAATCGGTGCACACGGTTAGGCCGAAACGCGTTCGAAGCGGTCTAAAATGGAACATTTGGAAGGCATGGAACATTTGGAAGGCCCAAGCCGTACGCGTAAAGAACCCCCGGGCCGTACCGCTAGTTACCACATGGGCCGGAACACCCGTATCGAACGTAAGCGCGGCCCAGGTAGGACATAACAATAATTACCTGGTATGAGAGACTGTTGTGGTACAGGTGGTTATACACTGTATCAATAATTACCTGGTATGAGAGACTGTTGTGGTACAGGTGGTTATACACTGTATCAATAATTACCTGGTATGAGAGACTGTTGTGGTACAGGTGGTTATACACTGTATCAATAATTACATGGTATGAGAGACTGTTGTGGTATAGGTGGTTATCACAATAATTACCTGGTATAAGAGACTGTTGTGGAACAGGTGGTGCAGCTGAAGCGAAGGGGTCTCCTCCCAGATCGCCCAGTAGGTCCATGGTGGCTGACTTTTTCTGCTGTGCAGGGGAGCCCTTAGCTGCAGGGGCCAGCGCTGACGTGGACTGGCTGGACTGTGGTCTACTGATGGCTGGGGAGCCCTGAGGGGAAGGGAGGGGGTATAGCAGTCAGTGGTTGATGTACTTAGTGCATGTATGTTCATGACGTACATGTATAGAGTCAAACTTGTGCAAGTTTGTCATAATTTGAACATAATTTTGTATGTTTTATTTATTATGATTATTGCTAAAAGTAATTATTATTATTATGTTTTTATTATTTGCATTTTTTTTTAAATTTTCTGTGGACTCCAGGAAGAATAGTATGGAATTAACCATACTAATGGAGATCGTAATAAACAAACAAACAAAGTGACCATGCACCTCTAGACAAATACCACTTCTGGACACGACTATATATTTTTTGCTGCGACCTACATTTGAAAAACAGCCCCATACGTTAAGAACAGACAACCCGGAACTGGTTCTAATTACCGACCCACACCTAGCATCTGCTTGAGAAAAACAATGCCCCCCCCCTCCCCCGCTATTCAAAACAACGGGTTTTTCTCGGCCATTCCAATTTACCTCAATACAAATTTTAAATGTAGGGGTGTATCTGCAATACTACATTGACCACAAAAACAGCTATGGCGAAAATAAAAACATGTGCATCATCAAGGACATGACTGCACATGACGTATAAAATTATATGCTGATTAATCAAAGGGAACCCTGTGTTTTAGCTGCGAACATAAAAAACCGTCTGACCACAATACCTCCTTCACAGAGTAACAACCAATAAGACTGGCGATGAAAGCATACATTGCCATGGCGATGGTGGTTGCTGTTAGGGTTATTGTTTGCATAGCACTGCCATCATTTCATGATTTTGAGGAAGACTTGGTACTAGACAGATATAGCACACTCCTCCCCTGGGTATATAATGAATGATCCCCGGGGTCACAGAAAGTAGGGCCATCCGGGGCAGAGAGGTCTTCCCTGGGTTTCCAGGAATGTGGGCTTAAATGTGGGTCAGAGACATGCCTGTGGACATTCCCTTCCTGTGGACAAAATGCCTGTACCATTCCTAGAATTCTAGCAAGCTGCACACAATACTGTACCATTAGGCTCCTCCCTGAGACGTCGCCAAAAACAATACTTCCATTTTTCATGGGGATAACAGTAGCTAAGACACTAGTAGTCCTTACCTGTGCACTGTTATGCACCACCAGGTTGGGTGTGTTGTCTCCTAACAAAGTCTTGAGAGGTTTGGTTTCCGGTGTGCTCGCGCTGCTGGTGGAGGAGGGTGGGGTGGGGGGCGGTATCTCACTGGGAGACACGTACCATCTCCTCTTCTCATATTTATTGATCATGAAGTCTTTCACCCTCTGTTCATCCCTGCTCTCGGGCATCCCTTGTGACCGGGAGTCATACAAACCAAGCCATACTTTTCTGCAGTACTGGAGGGAGAAGACAGGGGGCATGCTTGCATGTGCAAAAATCACAACAGAAAAGGAACAAGAAATCTGAAACTCCAAACCTCCAGGAAAGTATATAATGTATAATGTTCACAACAGCTACTGCCCATTTCAGACAATAGTCAACAGAAATGTTGACAGTATTACATGGCTTAAAAGATGTGTAACAATAATCTCCAAGCAGATCTGTCTTACCGCCACCAAAAGATCTGCTTGGAGATTAGTGTAACATCACAATTGTAATATTGTATGATGATACAGAAATACTTGGACGACTAAACCATACACATGTGCACGTTCATTATGACTAGTAGAAAATTGACTTTGTAAAGCCAGTTTTGCTGTCCTGAAATTGCATTATATTGGATGTCTTTACCTACTTCAAGCAGCTGTATAACAATACAATTGTGTGTTACATTGTCAAAATATTATTACCAATCATATATAATATAGGAAATTGAGACAAATACTAGTAATGAAGAGTAAATAAGTGTAGCGTACCTCGTTGCCATGCTTCTGAAGGAACTCTATCTCCTGTTGAGTGAAGGTAGTCATAGAGATGGACTTGACTCTGTGTGGTGGGTTTATACCACGTCTGGAGGGGGGGGGGGAGAAAAATGTAACTATAAAGTTCCACAGTCAAATTTTCTTTCAGAAGTGACCTACACTTTCCTATTACTATTAGGCCACACCAATTTAATTTCTTCGTTAACGGATTTTTCTAGAAAAATAATGGAGCGGGCGGGCAAAAAAAAATATGAAGAAGAACAGGTCTAGGCATCCTATTTAGCCCAAAATGGTACGATAGGAAACACGAAGTCAACACACCAGGCTGGTTTAAAATTTAAAAATTGGATTTTGAACTTTTAATGATACCATTGCATTGAAAGATCTGAAAAATCTGAAAAGGACTGTTTTCAACTGTGAGCATTTTGTTGTTGATTCTGATTTTTTTTTTAAATCAGAAAAAAAAATGAAGTGGGCGAATCTGTTAACCAAGGAATTAAATTGATGTGGCCTTAGTCCTGACTTTTTTCACCCCATACAATGTAGATGTAAGCATTAACTGATTAAGGGACTTTAGATACGCAAAAAAAAAACAGTACTCAAGCAACGGTCAGACATTTCAGAATTGAAAAATTCGTCTTCAATATCAATCAATATTTCATGCTTGCAAAGCTGCATAAAAATCTTCTGCAGTCTCTAGTGTCACTGACAAAAGGTTGTGTATGACCATTTCCAAAATCATATCCAGTTGCTTGAGTAACATTATTTTTTTCCCTAAAACTGACCACCTGGCACCTGCATGCGTCAGAGCCATTAGATTAGAGCCAGAGCCACACATGGCCCAATATCTGCTATATACATTATAATTTATAATGACGACCACATCATTTTTAAGCATGTGGCGGAAAAAGTTTTTTTGATGATAACTAGCAAGAAATCTTGAAGACTTCTTTGCATGAGGTTAAAGAGGCCATTTATGTATACGTCAGGGCATTTACTGCTCCTCCTGGGAGCTAAAAATAGTCTGATAACTACTGCTTATGGAGTCTTATGCAAAACATGACGTCACAGAAGCGGTAGATCTCAATTTTCTCAACAAAAACTGGAGTTGCATTGTACAATGAAAATTTGGAAGGGTCCAATTTCTAAGTATATATAATATGTTTAAAATTCACAGATTTGGGCAAATGGGACTGTATTTTCAAATTCACGATTTGTCAAAAATCCATCCATCTGTTGAGTACGCATGGAAAAACAGAAACATGTTCAAGCACCTTGAAAGGCAACTGAACAGAAACAGTTACCCTTTGATCAATTCTCCACGTGAAGAAAGGGTATTCTTGGTTTAATCAATTTTTTTATTAATTTCTCTGACTCTGAGTCTATATTCTGATAAAACGAACTGTAAAAATAAAAGAAACTCAAGTTACAAAAAACCATTCCAAAACACAAGTTGTTGTAGTGTTACTGTATATCCTAAATTTTAAAAAACGCCAACTCTGGCTGCCATAATATCCGTCCGAAAATAGTTTTTGTTTTACCAGGTGAAACGTGGGATGATTTCAATTGAGTTTTATCTTACATGACTGGTATAAACATTTATATGTTTTGAATGCCTATCAGATATCTTCCTCAGTAGCCAAAGTACATGTACTAGTAGGTGACACTTTTGCGGCGAGAACACAATCCCAAACTTGGCTAAGTTTGGCATTGTGCATGACCAAGTAAAAAGCACTGTTCGGGCAAGTGAATATCCCCCTGTACTTGCCCGATTGGGCAAGTAAATTTTTGGGATGAGGCATTATGCCCCAGTGTTTGGAGCAAAATCATCATTTTCGCATAATGTATTCACATAATATGACTTTTTATCAGAAAACTATTTGCAAGTCTCAAACCTCCTTACTTTGGGAAATGCTGGTCAAGCATTGAGCAATATTATATAGCATGCTTTTTTTTACTGAAAAAATTTCCTTGCGGTAAAAATGTACGTCATTTGTATTTTGCATTGGGCAAGTGAAAAGTTGGTTCGGGCATGTGGAAATGACCATGTGCTTGCCCAAGAGGGAAAGTGGATTTTTGAAAACTTGTCCAACCCTGATGACTATATTGGCATGGTGTTTAACATGCATTTAAGTGGGGTGGGGTTCACATATGGTCTGCTCTGTCAATTCTTACTCACTATTAAAAACATTCATATATGGTCAGACAGGAGTCTAAATCCCTCCTGCTATAAAATTGCAACATGATGTAACTCAACACTTAAGTTACCATGGTGACAGACGTCTGGTTCAGGTCATTGACCAGTATTGGTTTGGAGAAGAAGAGGAAGAGGAAACATCTCTAGCAAAAACAATATTTTTTCCCTCGGTAAACATAAAAATCAATGTCGCCACATGGTTGAACTTGAAAATGAGGTGGTCGCCATGATTAGGGATTAGGCCTAGGAAAATAAATGTTGCGTTTCCCGTTTCAGTCTTTAAAAAATTAGGGTTGGTACATGCAGGTTGGGATTATCTTTCGTTTTTTTTCTTTGTTTTGTTTTTTTTATTTTTAGATTTTGGCAATCTCCCGTGCATTACACTGTACAGTTTAACAAAGTATAACTTGCAAATTGCAATGCATGAGGACAGTCTTTCATTTTCAATAACAATGTTGGAAAACTGATTGTACAACGTTCCATCACCCATGTGTCAGATCATAGAGCTAGAAATGGTCAATCAGCTTGAAAAATTTATGTCCCATGCAATGGTCCACCCCCTAAAAATGCTAGGGTTGCAATTTTTTTAGGGTCCGTCGGGAAACAGGAAACACAACATTTTTTCCTAGGCCTTATTAGGCCATGATGGTCCCAACTCGTAGCAGTCACGTTGGCCAGGTAGTCACCCTGGGTAGGTCGCTTTTAAGTTTTATGTGCACATGGGGAAAATCTTGCACACTGAGAAAAAGGGGCCAACATGGCAAGGTCCAAATTCTGGGTGGACAGGGTAAAATTGTCCAGTACAGGTAATACTCAAAATTTCACTGGTGCGGTCATGCTGAAATGAAAAGGAATTTCAAGCCAAGGGAAGGATGTTGTAACTTGTAGGCCCTGCAACCTCCTAGCTTGTAACACAGGTATTGCACCTATAGCATACAACATGGTGTATTACGTATCACCCGGGGTTCTAGCCTGGCCGCGGGTTGTATCACCAGAGGCCAGAGGGTGATCTGACCCGCGGTATGGCTAGGACCGAGGGTGATGCAGGATACACCGTGTTGTATTTATAAATTTCAATGTCATATCCACCCGAGTAAACATTTTTTTTTTGTATATGTTAGTGCAAACTGAGCCAAAATTCCATGTCTCTTAACAAAAAAATAATAACAACACCAAATTTAACGTCTGAATCCGGTATTCAAATTTTTCAAAAGCAGCACAAGTGGTATACTTAAAAGGCAACACACATTGGCATAAATTATTATAATTTGTATGGAACTTGTGTGATAACCAAATAGAACCCTGTGCCGTGTGATGTCGCTAGTTATCACATGGGCCAAAAACCTGTATCAAACGTTATCGCAGCCCAGGTATGATATAAAACCATGTAAACCAGGTATACATACATTTGTTACTATATGAATGTACATGTACATGTATCATGCATGTGGCATGTTTTGGGTGTACAATTGTACTTACTAGTAAATTCTAATATTTAAAATAAATGTTCATAATTTCTTGAAAAGCAGATGCCCACTGCAAGTTACAGTTAGTCTATCTTTGGTTAATGAGTTAATCAACCATAGTTAACCAACTGATTGTTAATGTTATGACAAAACTAGCAGACAACATGTATTGAGGACATAATGTGACTAGTGGAATT